TTTTTTTTTTTTTTTTTTTTTTTTTTTTTTTTTTTTTTTTCCTCTCATTTATAATGACTATAAAGACATTTAAGGAACCTGAGGAGGATAGATAGTTCTGACAAAATTTTTAAGCATTGCCTCTGCAAGCAAACTGGTACAAAATCAAGCAATAGCCACTGTTTGACTCCTGGGTCAGAGACAGCAGCTGGCCCATTTTGATATCTTCTGATCTATAAATGTTTTATTCTGTTTCCACTTTCTTTCTCTTCATCCATCACCAGAAATGCTTAAAGGGGATTTACGTTAGTTTTTGTGGGTTTCATGAGTAACTGAGCCATAAATTGAAAGTCTTACATCGAGTAAGAGAGTTTCCCTTACAAGTAACCAATACTTAGAGAATGTGAAGGACCATTTTAAACCAATTTTTACTTCATACAGTTGCAAAAAAATAGTACTCTCAGTTGAAACTCAGCATAAATTCACCATTTTATTGCAAGCCTTGAAACAGTTTATTTTCTTAAAGTCCCAGGTCCTCATAATGTAAGAATCTCAACTTCCACGCAGAACTAAATAAGCAGGTTCTGTGCCTCATTATTTAGAAGCAAAGCCTAAAAATGTGAATTGAGTGTAAATGTGAACTTAATTTTTAGGCTCTACAAAGTAAAGAGTAAATAGCAAAGAAAAACAGTAATTACAAAGTTTAATGTTTCCATTTTTGAGCTTTCAGCAGAAGGAACCAGTGCTCTCTCCTCTGAGGTCTGAGTACAGGGAAGTCTTTATTGAGCATAACTGATAATTCTAGAACACAACAAGAAGTGAAATTGTTTCTGCTCATGAAAACAATGATCAAAAAGGATTCCCTCCATCCATCTACTAAGTGTGAGAGAATCCAAGAAACAGAGCACACAAAGTATATTTTTAGATCCATAGCATATGATGCTTGCAAAAGGACAAGGTAAACACTGGTACCCTTTGTTGGAGTCAGGGTCTTCTAACCTGGGGAAATACAACTAACTTGTACTTTCTCTTCACTTTCTTGAACTAAGGGGAAATCATGGCTTTCAAAGCCTACATGACAAAAGCACAAATAAAAATTCCATGACTGTGGTCCATAATTTGGACCTCTTGTCACATAGTTTTGCAGACCAGCTATAAGGGTTATTTCTCCATGTCTCTGCTGCAGAGCTTTGCTTACAGGTCTTTGGTAACTGATCAGCCTATGTTTTGAATGGTATCTGGGGCCTTCACACACAGATATGCCAACAAACAGAGCACAGTGCAGAGATCAGGAACATCTCCGATTCTGAAAATTGAAGCAATATAACCACAGAGAGAAAGTGCATTGAACAAGTTAGGCTAAGTTACTTGGTTTTCAAAATCAGAGCTACTTCGCCATTTCTGTTGTTTGTCTCACAGATGTAACTACATGACTGAGTCCAGATCAAAGGAGCTGCTCCTACAAAATGACCATTCGAATGAACTTGAAGGTTCCTTCACCCTTCTAAAGACAGAAGGTACATATCCCCACAGCTAGCATTATGTGATCTAATGAGCTAGGAACATTATCTAGTACATGACAGACCAGACAAGATCTAAATCTCACATCTGATGCTCAGATTAAAAAAAAAAAAAAAAAAAAA